TAGGGAACTTGAGAACCAGACTAGTGGATTTCTGACCCAGGGTCCTAGTAATGACACATAACAAAAGCAGCTAGTCTTGTGTGAGCAGGGATAAAGTGGTGAATGTTTGTCGGGAGAGGCACAGGATGTGTAACCCTGAGACGGTCAGTCCTGTGCAGAGGCCCACAATGTGTGACCTCTGAAACATCTTGCCAGCAAGATGTGATTAACACAGACGTTTCCTTTTTGGATGAGTACGAAGAGTTGATGCGTTAGTCCGTTCAGGACAGGAAGGCCAATGCCTAGCACTTGTGCATCCTCTGATAAGTTTTACGTGTAACCCTTTAGCGTCTAGTCCACAGGAGCGCTGGCTGTGGTCAAGAAGTGTTGCAGCTGGATTGGAGTTTGAGACCAGGCCTGGTGAATTCTGCAGTGCAGCAGGCTCAGTCTAGCTCCTGGGCCTGGTGTGACCAATTCCCCATGAGGTTTCCGATACCTTCAGCAGTGCGGGGCAGCAGCATAACAGGTGTCTTCTGCTTAGCTACACCCGATAGAAGATAGCAAATCCATTCCAGCTGTGCTTTTGAGCCGCAGCAATTAAGGGTTCAGTTACATCAGAAGAATTGGAAGACTGTACAGAATAGTAAATAAGTGCTAGACTGCACTTGTGCCAGGGCCAGTGTCTGTATTTAGGAAGAGCCCTGGGTTGTGATTATGTCCTTGGAACTTCAAATGTAATTTCAGGAGGACTCTGCACGTATGTGAGGAGGGAATCCTCCTGTTTCCTCACCTTTTATTCCCTCCCACCTATCCAATAACACACATCAATATAACCTTATGAAGATTTTGTCCTCCTTGACAGGGCATGGTCCTGGGTGTAGCTGCCAGTGCTTTTCCACATGCCAGTAAGTGGGGACCATGGGAGAACAGAGCTCTGACATTCGTTCCTCCATGGGTGAGCGGACAGTAGATCTGCTAGTGATAGCAGCTGTCTTGTCCAGCACAACGGGAACTGAACCAAGAATCTCCAGAGTTAAAACCCTGACCTGCTACATCTTGAGTTAGAGTTCTCCAGCTGTTCCCACAGCTGTGGTATCCTCTATGGATTGTGTGCAGAGGTAGATCTGTCAGCACACTCCCACCAGTGACTTACGCTTGCATATTAGGGTGTTGGGAGCAATAAAGATGCCCATTACCCAGGGCTGAGAAGACTTCTGGATCTGTATTCTAATCCTAACTTTTAGGTTGTCTATCGCACCCTTTTACCTCTTTCCTTGGGCAAGGCTGAGGGTCATTAGTTGGCATTTTGGTACATATCAGCCAACAGCAATAAGCAAGACTTTAGCTTACTCATTTAAATCTGTATCCTGAATTTCAGAAGGACATTCTTTGTTGGCAGGGCTTTTGCCGTGGAAATAGTGCCCTTAGGTACAGCCTGACCCAGTCCATTCTGAACTGCCCTCAACTTAATTCAATTTACTTACAAAAGCAGGGAAAAGTGAACATTTAGAAAATAGTTTCTTCTGCAGTTTTACAGATTTGATTTTTAATACATTGCTAATGTGTTGTAAATTGCAGTCATCCCTCTCGAACAGTGGATGAAGTGAGTATCAAGAGTTTCTCTTACTGCCTCTGTATAAAATGTACTTAAGAACCATTAAGTTTAGGTTCTTTTTCTCACAGCTGCTTACTGGTTTTGGAGTCTGTTATGCAAACATTTTAAATAGGAAAAAATGCATGTAAAATCTTGCATGCTGGGCATCCTATCAATAGTAGCTCTACGTACATGCATTCATCACCTCACTGTACTGTTTGGTTCATATGTAATTATCTGCAGTGCTTCTGCTGAGCTTGTGCTTACTATTTCACAGGCTAAACCCTGATGTACAGATGCAGTTACAGCAGAGGCCACCTCATCATCACAGCCCAACTTCCTCCTTAACGTCCTTGGGATCTTTGACCTTACTACAGTCTCCACCACCATCCAGACTGTCTCCTTCTCAGCATCAGCAACCCCTTATTTCAAGCCAGGGAGACTCAGGCCTTCTACCACGGACCCAGCCACCATTCATATCAAATCAGGTCCATCAGGGAGATCTTTATCGACTATGTCAACCTATTCTAGGCCAGCAGCAGCAACAAGGAGATTCCTACTCACTGATGTCAAGAGCTCAGCAGATTCCTTCTCCTTATCAGCAGATGCAAGTGGATCCTTTTGCCATTGTTTCCAGGGCCCAGCAGATGGTGGAGATCCTGTCAGAGGAGAACCGGTCCTTACGGCAGGAGTTGGATGGGTGCTACGAGAAGGTAGCAAGGTTACAGAAGGTAGGTGTTGCATAGCCCTGGAAGTCTTCTCTGCAATTAAAAATCACTCTCCAGCAAATGACTGCAGCTGATTCAAGACATTAGTTACCTGCTCTAGAGCTCTTCATCCAGTGTCAGTGGTATCTTCAGCTTCATCACACGATAGCATTCTGTTGGCCTGTATGCAATGAGTAAGTGGCCTCAGTTCTACTCTCAAGTAGGCAACTGGCCACATTTCAATTGGCAGCCTCATCAGCTGCCTTGGAGAGGCTAGTGGTTTGGGCAGTTTTCTCAGCTAGAATCAGGACTGTGAGACTGCTGCAGGCTTGATGTTCTTATTATATTTGAAAGGTTTAGATATTGTGGTCATGGGAGCTCTAAAGATCACATAGGCCAGCAACTGAGTTGGTCCCTCCAAAATTGGCTGACTGGACAGTGAGAGAAACTTGCACAGCTAGTTTCCTGTGGTGTGCCCATGTGTCTAAAAGAAATTTGGACATACAAAGTTTTTAAGGTATACCTTAAACTCCAAACACAACACAAGTAATGTAATCCTAGTTGTCTCCGTGGTATGAAGCTAATTGTTTGCTTCATTAAACAAGAGTGCACAACACTTGGCATCAAGCTGGCACATACATTTTCATAACTCTAGAATTGTCAGTAATACTTGCACCATTGATGACGCATAAATGTTGATAGCGGGGAGGGATACAACTCAGAGCTATTGTTGGGCGCTGGCTCTGACTGGGCTGCAGCCCTGCACCCCTCCCTCTGGTTAGTGCAGAAGTTGCACCAGGCCCCACTGCTGCCAGGTCTTGGCTCTGGCTGGGCTGCAACCCCGTGCCCCACCATCGGCCCAGAAATCTGTGGGTGGGGGGGGAAACGTACCCTCCATGTTCCCCCAACGTATTGCCAGTGACTTGCACCTGGCTGTGCCATGATAGACTCACAGAAAGACTTGTTGTCTAACGAGTTCACCAGCAATTAGAACATAGACCTAGTGAGAATTGCCTTTACCCTGGAGCTGTAAGGGAGAAGTTGAGCACTGATTGTAGTTTAGGTGTCTGTAGGCTTTGAACTGTTCTCTGACCCCTAAACAGCCTGTGGGGCCCTAGCAGTTCCTGGCTGTTACAGTGCTCTTGCTTTTTGTTCTGCATTTGAGTATTTCTGCCCACCAGTTTGTTTCCTATGTGACTTCTGTTCAGGTTGGTTTGTTCATTTTTAGGAAGGCTGTAATGAGGGAAGTGATTTAGTGAAATGTTTGACAGCTTCCTGATAACAAAGGAACTCCCCTGCTGTCCCCTTACCCAGCTGACTCCTTGCTAAAGATAGAAATGGTGGTGTCTGCTTCTTGGTAGATCCTTACTGCCACAGTGACGTGAGACACAGCCAGCTTCGGTTAAGTGGAAGTGAATTATTTTCTGTCTCTAGTGTTTAGCTCTTTCCTTCAGAGAGCAAACTGGAGGCTTTACCATGCAAGATAGATGGACTGAGGAAAGCATATTTATTGTTAACAAATCTTCGTTCTGAAAACTGAAGACCTAATGAGACTGAACCTTTTTTAGTTTTCTAGACTATACTTCCAATTTTTCAGTGCCAGCTCTGGATTGTTAAGCCCATAAATGAATGCAGTCTAGTGAATCTCATCAGTAAGTTACAACCTGATATTAGTATTTTTTGGCGCAGCTTTATTTGTAAGTCAATTTTCCTGCACTAATGAAAAGTGGTTAGAGCCAGGCCTTGGATGACTTTATTCCTTGCTCTGTGAGATCTGGGATACATTGCAGTTTACTTTGGCCATAGTTTCACCTCCTTGGTATATGGATGTAATCATGCTTTACCTCACTTGAGGCTGAAAAATATTTATTCATTAAAGCACTTTGAGACCCTAGACAGAAACACATATCTTAAGTGCCAGGCATTATTGCTGATTAAATTGCATGCTTCCATTTCCACTGTAGCTGGAAACAGAAATTCAGCAAGTTTCAGAGGCCTACAAAAACCTAGAAAAGTCCTCCTCTAAGCGGGATGCCTTGGAAAAGGCCATGCGAAACAAGCTGGAAGGAGAAATCCGTAGGCTTCACGATTTCAACAGGGACCTGAGAGGTAAATGCATACCATTTCCTCATGTTGTACTTGACTGGTGAGAGTTTTGCTGCTGGACTCGCTTGTGTTGGCTGACACACTTACAGAACATGACATGATACACCAGGTATTCTCAGCTGTCTAGGGTTGTCAGCAAATTGCTGGGACTGTAGAAAGGCGAGGTTTGGTTGATTGCTGCAGCATCTGATTTCCAGCCTCTTTAATTATAAAGGTGGGGGGTGGGGGGGAAATCCAGTTAAGCCCAAACTAGGGCATAACATTAGAATTATTTCTCATGTTATAGCTAATAAATAGGAGTGCACATATAATGATTTTTTTGGCTGATACCAATGGCCAAAAAAAGCCAATTGCTGGTAATGTCAATTTTCCTTTTATCTGTGCTGATATATGAACTGATATATTGGTGCATCTCTCTGAATAAACATTTGAAAATATAATTGAAAAACACTCTGCTGACTGCCCGTTCTGCATGGTCTTTTTATCTCCTATCTGGCAACCCCTTCACACTGATTTACAGACTGCCCACTCTTCCTGTAGTTTCTCAACACTGCTCATCAGTGGAGGCAGCAATTCATTCTGGTCCCCACTTTTTTCCAAGAAGAAAGCATCTATTTCTAGCTAAAAAGTTGCAGTAATGCAATGGCAGGAAATTGAGACTGGTATTGAATAGGGTTTGAGTCTAAAATGACAGAGAGAGAAAGCCAGCTGTGTTTTTAGGGGCATGCAATCAGAATAATTCAAACTGCTTTTTCTGTAAACACCTTCTAATTCCCCTGAATATCTTCTGCTTTTGCTGTCCTTTCAGCCTCTAATTGTTTAAAGCCACGATTCCTTGGTATTAACAGGGGAAGTGTTTTGAGTTCCAGCTTAAGACCACACAGTGCCCAATATTAAAAGCAAAAGGTTTCATGTAAGGGTTGTAATAAACTAAATCAGATATTACTAGCAGTTAGTTAATATTTTCATGGATTGATATAATATTCTGTTAGAGATCTAATGAGACAAAGATACACCTGCAATTAGGGCAGTTAATTTTTCTGAAGTCAGATAAGGCATCAGAGACATTAGTGATTTTTATTTTCCAGCTTATGTTCCTAAGATTTAATGGAAGCCTTAGAGAGAATCTCTTAATTGCATAGACAGGCCTTCTAGAATTCATACAAAAAGGGTATTTTCTGTAGGTTTCTCTAGCCCTCTTGTATAAGCTTCCCAGAAAATTCTCTCCCCTTCATAGAATTCTATGGAGCGATTCAGTACATCTGTAGAAACATTTTAAAAAACCCACTGCCTCTTACACATTGTTTTTTGGAATAATTTCTATATCCTTTTTTGTTTCATACCTTTAGAATATACCAGAATGTTTTACAAGAGTATTATAATCAGAACATTCAAAACTATCTGCAAATTTCATGAAATTTCATTTCCCTCCGATTTCAAATACTTCGGATTATTTAGAACTAAAAGTGCTGAGCACTGAAGTAGTTTTTACAAGTGTCCCCAGTGGATGCAACTTACAGAGCAAGTTCAAAAAGTTTTCCTGAAAGCTTTTCATTCTTTGTTGTTTCTCCTCTTTAAAAAAATTCTGCAGAGCGTATGGAGACAGCCAACAAGCAGCTTGCAGAGAAGGAATTTGAGGGGTCTGAAGACAATCGGAAAACCATCTCTCAGCTCTTTGCACAGAGTGAGTCAGACGTTCACTGTGGTCTAGCTAGTAAAATGCACCACTCAGGTAAAAATGGAGTACTGTCATGCACCGTAGAGAGAGGTAGTTAGCTGTGTTAGTCTGAAATCAGGCAGAAAGTAGGGTATATTTGCACCTTTATAGACTAACTAATTGGAGATGTGTAGCATATGCTTTCATCAGGAGAGTGCTTACTTCATCACATGCAGATCAGCCTGTCTTATCTTGTGCTCAGCTATTGTGGTGAGGAGGGCCATGTAAGGAGGTGATAGTCTGAAACTGCTAGTGGAAGAAGAGGTTGAATTCAGGATTTTCCTTCTATCAGTAAATAAAATTCATTGAATGACATGTATCAAGTGGAAAGATTGGAAAACAAGCACCATTCACCTGCTTTTGGCTTGTATGCTGCTTTTTCTGTAGGTTTCTCCTAGCCCTAGGCAGGGAGGACCTTAAGGACTTCCACTGTCTACTGAGTCTGCAACTCAGCATCCATTTTGTGGCCTGAAGATGCACTTTGTGTCTGTCCTTCACAGTTGGGCAAGAGTGTGGAGGATGCTGTGGAGGAGCTGAGTTTCAGCAAGGGGGCTTTACATCCCCTTAGCTCTTTCCTCTCTACTTCTTATTGGCACAGTTTTTTCTGAAGTCCCTCATTGATGCATTTGGTTCAGTGAACAGGCCAGTAGGTAGGACTCAATAGTTTAAAAAAATGGGGTTCTCTGTCTAGCTGTCTGGGCAGAGATACTTAAGGGTCATGACTTCTGTCCAAAGCAATGGATCCACCACAGGGCAAACCAAAATTACAGGTAAGTGATTGTTGCCTTTCCCCTGTACTGAAATATCTTGAGGTTTATGACAGTGAGTCAACCCTCTTCCTCATTGCTCGGTGCACTCCACCCTTCTGAAAGAGCCCACTATTCTCCATTATATAAAAGATAACGCTATAAAGTTGAGGGGGAAAAATTGCCACAGAGAAATACATGTTCCTCAGATGTAGGTTGCAGAGAGACCCTAAAATGGAGGGACAGGGCAGCGCACCACATGGGGGAAGAATAGAAGCTTTCAGTGAGCCCCTTAGTGCAAGCAATAACCTCAGCTCATGGAAGTTCTCACCAAAGTTAATAGCAAAACTAATCAACTTTTACAGCAGCAGAATTCAGCTACATACATGTCAGTTTGTAGGTCACACTCCTCCAGGCCTGTACAAGCAGGTAGTTTAATACCAGGTGGCAATACTGTATCCCAATGCTGTAGGAAAGGCCCATGCCACCACGTACTGTGCCTCAGGGTTTCTGCCTGCAGAAGCCAGCTCTAAAAGGTGCAGTCAGGTCTCCCCACTTGGCAGAGGCTGATCTGGGGATATGCTGAGTTGGCAGTCTTCATCTTGGCTGCTCTGGCCAGGTTCCCACTCTTCCTTTGCAACCACTGTTTGGGCTTTTCAATCCTTTTGCAGAGAAGAGTTTGTAGTTGCTATGTGCTGTTAGGGCTTTGAACTTGGCTCTTCCCGGCAGAAGAAAGGCAAGGTAACCCCTCTGTGCAGCCAGGAGCTGGTTCCTGTTTTTCAAGCCTTCCACTCCTTGTCCTCATTCCTTTGTCGTGGGATATTAAGTTTTTGGAATGCAGTTTCTCTGGTGTCATCAGTGCTGGGTGTAGATTGCTCTGGGGAGTATTTCATAGTTATATATTCAGTAGATGAGTTAATGCTACCATTGCAAGTGGTTTGCAAGAACTGCTGGGAATGGCAGCAACTCCACAGAGGACGTCTGCTCTGCATTCCAGCTTTGATTGTGGGCTTGCTTACATGTTCACACTGGTTTTCCATGTCCTTATGTTATCCCGTTTATTTTTACTAAAAGAAGTTGCTTTGTGAATGGAAATGCTTTAAGGCACTCTCAAAGTCCAGGTGTTTTGTGGATGGCAGCTTTAATGGAGCAGACATGTTGCACTGAGTAGATTCATCCTTATCTAGTCTAAACTCCATTGTCCCCATGTTGAGGACCTCCACCGCCTACTGAGCGTGTGTGCATGCATGTATCTATACTTGCTCCTGGCCTTCTTGGTAATAGCTAAACCTGTACACCATCCATTACATGACATGATATTTTCCAGCGTAACAGATCTGCTCAGACTACAACATGAAAGAGTCAGGAATGGTATGAACCTCTCTCTAGAGGTCTGAGGAAAAAATATGCATTAAATTGTGTCAAAGAGCATTTCCTTCCTAAGGAGAAAAAAATTTAGAAACTTGAAGCCCAACATCTGGCATCTTTAGGTAACAGTATTGCTACCATTGCATTGCCCCATTGCTAGCAGCATGATCTTGTATTTGGCTAGTCACTGCATTGGGGACTAAGAAACCAAGAAATAGCCCAACTACATGTCAGATTGCTTCCTGAATATGAGGACTAAGAAGGACAATTAAAATAATCTAGTCCAGCCTTTGACACAGCATAGAACCTGGACTGAATTTCTGCATCAGGTGTTGGCTTTAAAAAATTGACAGGGGGGTTTTCAGTACAAGTGCGTGGGTTTGTACAAAGCTTTGGAGAGAGAGAGGTGACTTGTGATCTCGGAGTACAGGACAGTCTAAGCACTGATGGCACAGGTCCAGAGGTCTTTACCTGGAGGCAACAGAGAAGAATTTTATTGCTCATCCCTCATCCCTGGGCCAGTCAGCATGGTGCTTGTGTAACAGTGATGCTGACCCACCAGTAAGTCATTATTGAAAACAGGCTTATCATGGGGAAGTGAAGCAGAAAAGCAAAGCCTTGCAATAAAATCAGACAGCTCCATGATGCACCTTTGCTATTGTCTACTCACTAACCTGGGATGTTACCAGCTTCTAAGGATATCAGCTTCTCTCTGACTGATTCTGTTAGCTACAAATACAAGGCACTGTGTCCCAGTAGCTGTCTAGCTACGTAGGGTAGGACACAGCCTAACTCAGGGGTGTCAAATGTATGGCCTGTGGGCTGGATCCAACCCGTGGAAGCACTCTATCCTGCCTGCTGCTATGGGAAGTTGGGGTGTGGTTGCAGGGGAGTGGTCTGCTACAGAAAGGCAGACATTGGCAGGGGGAGGGTGAGCGAAGGCCACTGCAGCCCTACTGGCTTTCCATCCACTCCACCCATCACCACTGCCGTTGTCCTGTCTCCTCAGCTGTGAGCCCTGCCACCATGTTACAGGGCATACAAGAACGGCAGCAGTTCTGGTTCTGGCACAGGGCACGTTGTGGGATCTGGAGCTGTCTCTGTTCCGGCCGTGTGCCCCATGTCTGAGCTGGAACTGCTACCACCACTGCCCTGGTGCATCCTTGCCTGGAACAACCCCATGCCACAGGCTGGATCAGGCCCAGGGTATGGGGTGAGTTTGACACCTCTAACCTAACAGAGCCTATTTACTGAACAGTCCCTCTTTTTCATCTCTGTCTGTAGTGCTCTCTTTGCCCTCTTTCTTCCCAGAGATTCATCTGGTATTAGCAAAGGTCCCATCTTCCCTTTGGGCAAGTGGTTGCCTGTGAATGCAGATAATGGTACTCAATGGCCTGGGAGCTCCTGTTTACCGTGGAATTTATGGGGATGTCCCACTCATATGAGTCCGGTCAGGGAAGGCTCTGTTCGTTTTGAGATCACATCATGTTTCCCACTATATTTTTATATATATAGATAAAGAAACACAGAGGGAGAAGGAAAAACTGGAGATTGAACTAGCTGCTGCACGCTCCACTAATGAGGATCAGCGGAGGCACATTGAGATTCGAGACCAGGCCCTTAACAATGCTCAGGCCAAGGTGGTGAAACTGGAGGAAGAGGTAAGCTCGCTGGGGGAGTACGTCTGGGCGTAGCTCAGTGTACGTATTAATGAAAGGGAATGGGCAGTGGTTCACCCTTTGCAAAATGAGTGAGAAATGTGCTCTCTTTAAGAGGTTTAATTTGCACTGCATTAAATTGCATTGCATTGGTTAGTTACACTGGTTCAAAAGGTGTTCAGATAAGTTGCAAATTTATATTTGCTTGGAAAAACATTCTTCATTCTTTGGGCAGCCTCACTGCGTTTGCCTCTTGTCTTCATCATCTGTTAAAACAGGTTTGAGCTGAAGTCTCAGATCCAGTTATCCCCTGAATTTGGCAGAAATTCAGATCTGGACTTAGTCTTATAAATAATAGCAAGTGAATTCAGCTCACACATTGCCAAGAGTTCTGTCAAAGCTGTGTTGTGAGTAATGTAGCTCTACAGTAACTGTTTTCCTCATTCGTATGGGCTGGGTCAGAGCCTGGCTGCTTTCTCCCCCTCCTCTTGCCAGGGAGAAGGACAGGGACAGGGACCTGCCTTTTTCCCTGCTTAGCATGGTACGTGCCTTATTCATAGGTTGTCTCTTTGACTTTCACCTCTCTCTGCTCATTGTCATAGCATCCATCCTTCTTCCTTCTGCCCACTCCTTCCCCTCACTGATTCCGCTTCCCACCTCCAGCATCCATTCCCTCTGCCCTCCTCTTGTATGGTGGAGTCTCTGGTGAAAATCCTGTGACCAAGCTGGCTTCCTCCACTACAGAATAGTCTCTTCTTGTTCAGTTTGGTCATTTTCCTCACTAAACAGTTCTGCTACTCCGGCATTCAAGTAGTACTAGGTCCTCAGTCCCAGTGTTTTTACTGCTTTTGCTCACTCTTGTGCCTCCAGGATTCTGTGTAGAGTCTTACCAGTTTCTTGTTTCTTCCAAGAAACAAAATTGCCAGAAGAAGATATGAATCTGTCCTTCCCCTCCCTCCGCTTGCTTTTGCTTCCTTCTCTTCACCTATCTGAAGTGCAGAAGTTACATACCTGGTGTCCTGTGACTTCTGCACTTACTCAGTGATTCCATCCCATCCTTGGATCTCGCTCATGCCCATTCCTCTCTCCCCCCTCTCTGTGTAAATGTGATTCAGTTTGTCCCATCTTAAAATACTCCCTTTTGTCCCCTCATGTCTTTCTGACCATCATTCCATCTCCCTTTCAGTCTGGAGTTCCTCCCTCCAGCTCCATCCATGACCTGGTCCAGTCCAATTTTTGACCCCTTACACTCTACTGAAGCCACATTAACCAGAATTTCTTATCACCTCTTTCTGGCCAAAGGCAAAGCATGCATTTCATCCCCCGAGGCCTAGCAAGCTGTCTTCCATGCCATTGACACTGCTCTTCTAGAAATCTTGCCCTCCCTTGGCTTTTGTGACGTTCTGCTTTCCTGTTTCTTCTGTTTCTCTAATTGCTCCTGTAGGATATCCTCCCTTCATTTTTTGAGTAGGTTCCACAGAGTCCCCCCTCCCTTTATTTTCCCCCTTATACACTTTCTCTCCATCATAGCTCAAGGAATCGGAGACCAGTCTGATGAGGGGCTTTGGCAAGCTCCAGAGAGTGTGGGAGGAGAGGAGGACAGAGATCAACAGGTGAGGAGTCCTTTGGAGACAAAGGAATTTAAGTCTTAGAAATAGAGAGGGACAGGACTGTGGATTATGAGCTCCCCTCTGACGGAGAGGGTGCTGCTCCGTGATAGGGTTGAAGTCAGTCTGTGGGGCACTGTGAAGAAAGCTGGCCCTCCTACAGCAACACATATGCTATACCTGTTCTGGAGAAAGGAGTGCAAACTTCACATGAATGGAAAAGAATAGTTGAACTTCTCCTAGAATTGTGTTCAGCTCAGAAGTGAGAGAGACTTAGTTTTGTTGTTCAAAGGGCCAGAGAGGTGGGCTCTCAAAGAAATGGGAAGAGTGGTGACTCGTTGAGGCTTGGCAGGGTGGAGGGATGAGAAGTTGTTAAGAATCATGGACCAAATCCAACCCTCAGTGAAGCTGACAATCCAGCAATATCAGTAGAGCTGCAGCCTCTAATGCCAGGTGTGAATTACACTTTGCTTACATTCAGGAGACAAAAGGAGACGAGCTGATTTATGAGAGCAGTGATACAGTTTGGGTCTGAAACTATTCAGTAAGCTTGAACCTGCAAGGTGCAGAGTGCTCTGGCACCAGTCCAAAGGCTTAGTCACGTAAATACCTTTAAAAATCTAGTGCATGCTTTGGTTTTAGCATGCAAATAGTCTCCTTGATGTCCACAAGATGGCTCATATACTCAAAGGTTCCTGGACCAGGGCCATCAAGCTCAGCACCTTGCAAGCTTGAGCCCCTAATTAAGCTTTTGCTACTGCCTCCCTTACTATAACTTCCAAACACCTCGAGACAGTAACCCATAAACATGGACATGCTGTATTGCAAAAGAGCCCTCTTGTGTATGCTCAGGGTATGCTGCCATCTCAAAGTATTTGCCTACTGTCCTTTAAAAAACAAGATCCAGGATATACATAAATGATTCTTTTAAATATACACAATGGTCCCCCACCATTTTGTATGAAAAAATATAGTCCTGACTGCCTGAGGGTTTGTGGTGGCTTTTAATCCATCTTTTGCCTGTAGTCCCAGGTCTACAGGAAGTGCCACCCTTCCTGTTGTAGATAAATATGGAAGCTTCTCAGTGAGAAAGTAGACACGAGCCTTCGAGGAGTCTGCTCTTTTTGAAGATGTGGGGGAGGGAATAGGGGAGAAAAAGCCACTCATTTTTGTAGGTCTCAGAAATCACTTTTCAGGGAAGCACTTAGAATCATGAAAGCATTTGTTGCCTCGGCATCAAACCAGGAAAGCTTCTCAAATCTTTTCTCTCTCCTTTCAATAACTTTCTGAAAGAAGGCACAGGAAACTGTTCAGTGCTCAGAGTACAATTTAAAGAGAACTCTAAATGTCAGGCTATGATTTAATGGTATCCAGTGACCAAGTTATCTGAGCAATTTGTCAATGATTTCTTTTATTCCCGTGTGCTTCACCCAAATAGCCAGTCTGCATAATGGTCAGGAATTTCCAAGTTAGTGCTTCAAAAGCGGGTGGGGTCGGTTATACTAACATTTGGCAGAGGCAGTGGTTCAAGGCCTGAGGGATGGCGTGTTTCAGTCGTTGCATCCTGCCGTGTGGTTTTTTTCAGTTTTTCTTCTTCCTTTTGGGCTTCCTGCTCAGCAGATTCTCATCCCTAGCTAATCTCCATCAAACCTTTTCAGATACCCTTTATTCCAGTTGAGATGAGGGCTAGAAATTGTATCGTTGGGATGGAATTTAAAATTTTGTCTTAGAATCAGATTCATTGGTTTCATTCTGCTACTCCTTTACTGCCTTATGCAAGCCATCTAGTCTCTCTATATTTGTCACCTGTTTTGTATGTGGGGAGGTGGTAGCATGGGAAATAATCCCATGGGGCTGGGTGAAGGTAACATGGGGCACTAGGGCCCAAGCCAGGTAGGTGGGGCCTGATCCAGTCTGTAGACTGGTCCCATGCTACTTATCTGGCCCTCAGGGTCGAGCACCACTGGTTTAGAATATAAGCTACTATTGAAAGTAAAGTTTAGGAAATGCTGAAGTTATTTCTGAAGTAAGGGCATGAGTGTAGGTATTTAAAAGGAAATTCAAAGCAAATGTATCTGCATCCACTTGGTATATGTTTGCATCTGTTGTATGAGTTTTCTTATTTCTACTTCTTCGTGATCTGTAGCCCTCTCCCCCAAGAATGTTTAACTCCATTTTCTCGTTTTTCACTTCAGATAGGAAGATTTTTTTAGTCTTCTCCCTCTGCCAGAGGGGCCTTGCTAGGACCTTGAGAGAGGACCTTAATAAGCAGTATTAACTGCAGCTTTCCCTTCTCACACATTAACTGAGCCAGTATTGGTCCTGCACTTCCAGCTGTGAGATGCAGGGACAGCTGTCAGTCGTGCTTTCATTCATAAATGCACAAATGGATGAGGGCATGATGAGAACAATATTTGTTATTAAAGGAAATACAGAGCTTCACCTTTCTATACCCCACATCTGTGTATTTAGGTTAGGTGTTTGGAAGTCCCCTCTCTCACTGGTAGGTAAGGATTAATTTGAATAAAGGGAAAAATATAAATGCTTGTATTTCACGTACATTTAGGGCCATATCATGCTATCTATGTAAGCAGACTTCATTGATTTCATGGAGTCTCTTAATAAGTTTTACAAGATGACCAACAGTTTTGTAAAGACAGGATTTTCAAAGGATCCTAGCTGCTGTTAAGTTGTCAACACGCTGCTCTGTGCTGACCACTTAAAATGTCTGCCCACTTCATTTAGGCGTCCAAATGGGAGCTAGTTTGCAGAAGTGTTGAATAGAAGGAGGAAATGGAAGAGGTGGAAATGAGTAAAGCTTTGTGAAATCACTCAAAGACCGTCAGTGTTTTTCTGTGGCCATGACAGTCTTAAGGGGAAAATGTACTTAATATTAAGGACGTGGCTGGCATTAATGCCAGACTCCAGGCTAGTGGAGCTTCTTGCTTGATGTTGGTTCAAAGTGATCAAGTTGTGTTGGGCATTGAATCATGCTGGAAAAAGGGCAAGTGTTTTTTGCTGACATTTAAGATACCAAATGCAGAGAAGAACAGGCCGGTCATAAAATAGCCAGCATATACCAGTTAGCCTAAGTTGATTTTATTTTATTTTTTCCCTTTGCTTGAATGCCTGATAGAGACTGCGGAGGGAAAATGTTAACCATTGCTGTGCTGTATGGGATCACAACACTTTTTTTTCCCTAGCACATCAGGACCAGGGGAGGAGACGGTTTGCTATACTAGTTGGAACTCCTGAATTCTACTACTGCCACTGACTTGCTGCGCGACTGCAAGCAAATTCTTAAATTAACCTTGTATACCCTGTTCACATCTGGGTGTAGTATTTGCTCGTTTCATTCAAGTTGTGCGAGACTGCGTGGTTTAAAGCTCTTTAAGA